TCTTTGCTCAGAGAGGGTGGTGGGTCCTTAGAATTCTCTGCCCCACAGACCTATGCAAGTTCAGTATCCTCAAGAAAGAGGTTAATAGATTTCTAGATACTTATGACGTAATGGATAATGTGGGAACGTAGTGATGGGGAGATGATCTAGAAGCAGGTTCGAGGGGCTGAATGGCCTACTCCAGCGCCTATTTCTTATGTTTTAGCGGGGAGGTTGGGGGTGGGGTTGGGTTGGTGTAGTGATTTTGTCACTGGACTAGCAATCCAGAGAGCCAGGTGAATTTAATAGACTCAACGGTCTGCCAACGTCTGTAGACACACAAAGAGAGTTAACATTTTGAGTCTAATTACTGTTCAGAATATCAAACAATGATGACTCTATTCTGAAAAAGAGTCATACTGGACTCGAACCGTTAACTCTGAGGGCGTGCCACGCTGTCACAGGGTCAGTGCTGAGGGAGTGCCGCACTGTCGGGGGGTCAGTGCTGAGAGAGCGCCTCACTGTTGGAAGGTCACTACTGAGGGAATGCCGCACTGTCGGAGGGTCAGTGCTGAGGGAGCGCCGCACTGTCGGGGGGTCAGTGTTGAGGGAGCGCCGCACTGTCGGGGGGTCAGTGCTGAAGGAGTGCCACACTGTTGGAAGGTCAGTGCTGAGGGAATGCCGCACTGTCAGATGTGTTGACCTTTGTTATCTTTCTGAGGAATCCCCTCACCTCGGGTGACTGTCTGTGTGGAATTTGCACGTTCTCCCTGTGTCTGTGTGGGTTTCCTCTAGGTGCTCGAGTTTCCTCCCAAAGCCTGAAGAAATGGGTGGGTTAGGGGGGATTTGCTATGCTAAATTGCCCATTGTGTCCAGGGACATATGGGCTAGGTGGATTAGCCATGCAGGGTAACAGGGACTGGGTGGGACGCTCTTTCGAGGTCAGTGTGGACTTGATGGGCAGAATGGCCTGTTTCTGTCACTGTAGAGGTTCTATGAAACCACTGAGGGAGGACAGAATTTACCTACATAAAGTCTCCTGACCCATTCTCCATGTCCAATCCCTATCAATTTCATTGGCCTGATGTTACTGTGGTGTTACTTTCAGGGAGCAATGAAGATTATCCCCTTCCCTTGCCTGAACATGATGGAGTGACTGTCTTACAGTATAGGGAGGCCATTCAGTCTATCATTGCTCTCTGGACAACTGATCCTGCTGTACAGTAACTCTCCCCAGCCCTACAAAACCCATTCTCCCTTTCAATTATTTATCCCGTTCATTTTTTTAAAGTCCTTATTAAATCTATTTTCACTGCTCAGATCATGGCAACATACTGCATTAAAAAAAATTCTCATCTCCTCTCTTTCATTTGCCAATTACCTCAAAACGTGTTTTTGTCCAAATTTATTTTGACTCTAAATTTTATTTGTCCTCAAATTCCTGTGTAATCTACTCCATTTAGCAACTGGTTAGAAAAAAAACAATAACAAAAAATTAACTTAATTTAATTTCAATTACTTCTTGGGCTGGATTTGAATTCAGATTCCAGTGCTGGACAGAGATTTTTTTTTTCATATCAGAATATTTACATCTCATCCTGGATCAGCAAGTTAGGATTTTGTTTTCTGAAGTGTTTTACAACAGTTTAGTCATGTTCCTCTTCATATTTTAATTTTTCAGAAATGAAAAACAGACAATTCTTGCTTTTCTCTCTGATTTTACAATCAGCCTGATGCAAACAATCTTACTTTGAAGACTGCAGGCTGGAGGCTTTGATAGGAGCATGAAAATGTTTGTAGAACTGTCTTCATTGTTACTTCAATCTTCACAAAGGGATACTAAAAACATATAAATCCAGATTAGCCCCATCCCTGCAAACACTCTGATCAAATTCACCTCTCAACAACTGGTCTCACACTTGTGAATTGACAATTGGAAACTAATTGTCATTTTGCTTTTCATAGTCAGTACTTTATATTTTTAAATTTATTGACCAAAAAAAAAGTAATTTTGATGTGAAAGTGATTTTCCTCCAGGGTCTAGACCAGTGTCTGAATCCCATTGACTTTAATAAAACAAAGTCTTTGGGAGTGGAAGAGATGGGAAGGTGGTGTTTGAAGTATGAGTAAAGGTAAGGAGGTTAAACTGAATCTTTATAAAGCACTGGCTATGCCTGTTGGAATGTCAGGTCTGATTTGGGAAGCTACAAGGCTTTGGCAAGGCTGCAAGGGAGATTTAATAGAATGGATCCAGGGATGAAGGACTTCAGGTGGTTTGAGGGAATGCAGGAAGCTGGGACTGTCTTCCACAGACTAGAGCATTTTAATGGAATATGTAATGTGTTCAAAACCACTCAGTTCTAAATAAGGAGAAGCAGTTTCTCATTAAGGTCATTGAGAAAACGCACTGGCTGTAAATGTTTAAGCTCATAGGAGCGCCATTCTGAAGGAGATCCTGGATAAATGCCTAAAGGTTGGAAATTATCCAGGCAATGGATGGGGAGGGGGAATGGGCAAAGGAAACCCTCCTGTCAGATCATTTTGAGACTCTACAAAATGTATTCAAAATGAGAGAGAGGAGGCATGCGCGCACACACACACACACCACCCCCCAACACTGTCTCCCACACAGACATAACACCACCTCCCCCCTGCAATACACTCACGCATGCACACACACACACACAATCATCTCCTCCTACCCACACTCGCACTCATCCACCTTCACCCCCACAACACACACCACCACCACCTCCTCCCCCAAAACACTCATGCGTGTACCCACACCCTTACACATCCACCGCCCCCCTCTTCCACCCCTCCACCCCCCCCGACACACACACACACAGATAAAGACACAAAGCACAACCCGTGAGGTTTATATAAGGAACATGTAAACTGGCATGTCCATCTTTACACATTTATTTTGTCCAAAGCACAGTTACATCGTACTACACTAGGTGTAACAAAACGGGAAGCTATGAAATTCACAAGGTGTGGATATGCTATCATACAATTTCAGACCTGCACAACAGGGTATATATAAATGCTCCAGTTCACCTCACTACCAGCAACTGAGAGTGGCAAATGAGGGGGCCAGGTGGGACAGGACAGGAGCTGTACCATGGATCAGTTTGACAACATCTCATACTCCAGGCCAACACTCAGCCCCTCCCTCAACAGCACCAAGAACCATTTAATAAAGGTCATCAGTGTCTCCCTGTAATTATGAAACATTGCAGAAACAGCAGGGCACACTCTCTTTCCCAGTTAATCCAGGACTATAGGCACCAAAGCCCGGAAGCTGCGAGGATTTTCAACATTTCACAATTTTATTCACAGATTTGAAGGGCTGCAGTTTTTGGGTGGGGGAGATGAGGGGGGAGTAGGTTTTGAAAAAAAAACTTAACCAAAAATATTCCCAGATCCCAGCTTCCCAGTCGCAGTGTCACCCAAAACCCCTAATAAATAAACTGACTGAAAACTGCCACGTCCTCTCATTGAGCGGTCACTGGCCGGTCAATACACAATGGGTCAGAAATAGATTAATATCATAAAGCTCCTTCCCTCCCTTTAACTATCCCGCCACCTGCCCAGGATCTGATCACAGAATTCATTCACTATACCTTACCCCCACCATCCCAAAGACCCCAGTTTGAGCCCAAGGAGAAAAATGCTTTGCGAGTGGATTTTGTTCCCTTTCTAATTACAAAGGAGAGGAATAAGTGATGTTAAATACCCTTGGTCATTTCCCTGGGGGGTTTGGGGTGAACAATAAAATAATAAAAACAGCCACACGGACAAGAAATGTTATCTCTTAGCTTCAGAGACAGTAGGAACTGCAGATGCTGGAGAATCTGAGATAACAAGGTGGGTTATCTCTTAGCTTGTTTGTTGCAGTAGAGGTTCATCTGGGAGAGCTGACTTCCCTTGCATTCAGATCCCTCAGCCTTTTAAAAACACACAAACTCTCTGCTCTGGAGCTCATCCAATTAGCCCAGGCAATGAAGGTCAGAGAGCTATTCAATAGCAACAACATCACAGGAACCCAACATCCTGGGTGTTATCATCAACAAGAAACTGAACGTGAACAGCCACATCAGCACCATGGTTGCAAAAGCAGGTCGGAGGCTGGGAATCCTGCAGCAAGTTACTCACCGTCCCACTCGCCAAAGCCTGTCCACCATTTACAAGGCACAAGCCTGGAGTGTGATGGAATACTCCCCACTTGCCTGGATGGGTGCAGCTTCAACAACACAAGAAGCTTGACACCATCCAGGACAAAGCAGCCCACTCAATTGGCACCATATCCAGAAACATCCACTCCTTCGGCCACCTACACTCCGTAGCAGCAGTGTATATGATCTACAGGATGCACTGCAGAACTTCACCAAAGATCCTTAGACAGCAACTTCTGAACCCATTTCCATCTAAAAGGACCAAGGGCATCTGCTACATGGGAACACCACCCCCTGCAACTTCCTCCAAGCTATTCATTATCCTTACGTGGAAATATATCACCGTTCCTTCACTGTCACTGGGTCAAAATCCTGGAATTCCCTCTCTAAGGGCATTGTGGGTCAACCCACAGCACATGGATTGCAGCGGTTCAAAAAGGCAGCTCACCCCCACCTCCTCAACGAACAACTGGGCATGAGCTAACTGTGCAAGTGGAGGCTACATCCCATGAATGAATAAAGGAAACTCTGCTCACACCTAAAGCTCACTAACAAGGGCCTAGACTGGCCTGAT